AAAGGTTATGATGTTCTAAAATGCTTGAAAACAAATGTTTGTAGGGAATTCTAAGTAACAGTCGCCTTGAAGCCTCTGGTGAGTAAAACAGAAATACATGAAAACCTGAGTAGCAGTATAAACAGGTTATATTGAGTCCCAAATGATTCAGTATGAGTCCTGAAGACACCAGAGCAAAGGATGATAATCACCGAGGCCATGACAGGGTTGAAGAGGAGCTCCTGAAGTGGCATATTTTGAGAGACAGCAAACAATAGAAGGCCATTTTTTTGTTCTTCAGTCATCTCTGACTCATTGTATATTTTGGTAAGGAATGGAATTACCTGTTTTTGTCTTCTCTTTCCAGCCTGAAGAGTTGAGAGAAATCATTGAGAAGACTAGAGAGATGGAACAGAACAATGGCCACTACTTTGACACAGCAATTGTGAATTCAGATCTTGATAAAGCCTATCAGGAACTGCTTAGGTTAATTAACAAACTTGATACTGAACCTCAGTGGGTGCCATCCACTTGGCTGAGGTGAGGGAAACATCCATTCTATGATATGATTGGACTTGATCTGGCAAACTGCCACGAGGAAGAGAGCCCTGATACTTCAGCAAGACCCTGAGGTGGCAGGCCAAATAAGCTGTAGACCTGTTCTTTGATCTCAAACTAGTGAGAAAATTCCCTTAGGCAATTTGTGCATAGCAGTCTTTATTCTCCGTACATGGCTTTAGAGGTTCTTGCCTCCTCTGGGGATTCTAAATGGAAGCTTTCAACAGACCAGTTCCATTTTATCCATGTAAAAACCTTTTAATTGTTTTCACCTACCTTTCTGCCTGGTCCTATTTCCATGAAAAAACTTGTCTGTATATACACAATGGTCCATGACTCACATAGTTATAAATATTGATGCTATTTAACAGTTAACTTAAAGGACTTCATGGCAGGGGGTGGGGGGGGCTGTGCTTCTGTGTACTGGGCAGGACAGTATTTGGTTAGAAGGCTGGTTTTGTCATCAGAAATATTTTCCTAAAATGTAAAAAAAAAAAAAATGGCACCACTTTGGTCTCAAGCTACTGTTAGGCTTGAATTCATTTGTGTGTCTTTTAATTCTAAAACATTCCGTTAGAAACACATTTTTTAGCTCAGACTTTGTGGATCAGATTTCACTGCACACTCAACAGATTCTGATCTAGTTAAATATATATAGCATATGCTGATTTTTTTAATGATTTTCTGAAGTTTTTGCTTAAATTATCACAAGTGATTCTATAACCTTGCTTCCTTCTCTGATCTGCATAGTACAATAGAATGTATAAGTAACACTTTCATGAATGGCAGATGGTCATATAAACTTAGTTTTTTCCTCATGATGCAAATCGTTTTTCATATACGAGAGGACATAGCACATTTGACAGTTTTGCATTTTTATATATGAGCACGGTATAATTTGATGCCTGTGCCATATGTAAGTAATAAACTGGAATTCTGGGATAAACATAGCTGCTGTGCTGTATACTAATATTTACTAGGTGACCAATGGTCATTGATAACACTCATTCAGCATTGGAGTAAAATTATATCCAAGGGGAAATACTGTAACAATTGACTTTGAGATCACAAGGAAAGGATGACCTGAAAGTCATTTGAACATTATATAGGAAAAGAACATGGGGGGTGAGGGGGGAGTTAAGCATGCAGAAGCAGGTTTTTATCCTATCAAGTTCTGCCTCTTAATGACCAGAATGCAGTGGCTTTGCTCAATCATAAATGTTTAAGCTAATGGGGTCTTCATACTGTCTCTGTAGCTGCAGCTATAAAATTCAACTTCTGCAGTTGGCACGGAAAGTTAATTTGTAGTCTTTTCAAGCCTTCAGGGATGGTGTGATGTGTGTCAAACAACCTCAAATGTGAATGTCTTGATTTTATTTTTATGACTTTAGCTACAGCATTACCTGTTCCCAAAGCTAAACACTGGAATAACATGGAGTTGTCACTTAATTTAACATAAGCAATTGTTGTAAATGAGTAGTTTGTCTCGTTGTTGTGTATATATTTGATTTCTGTGTAATTTTACTTGAACAAATGTAGATAGTTTATGTTGCCTTTTCTGTTCAAATCTGCATGGCCTTGAAGTCGGCTGCAATGTGTCTTACATGGAAATACTTTCAAGATAACCGTTCCTTAGGAAGAAAGTAACATTCCTGGGTCAGGGGAAGGAATGCCATCCTATCTTTTCAGATCTGAAACACTCCAGTTTAGGACAGAGAAAACCAAGGAATATTAGCACTTAATCTTTTCAGTTTTCCAGTTTACTTTCTCTTAAGGAATGAAAGGTAGTCTATGGTAGACAGTGGAGTTTTATGAGCTGCTTTTCCTAAGGGACAACTGCTTTCGGCCCTAAGATCTAAAAGGTTGGCAGTTGAAGTAGCTATGGGCTGGTTCCTGAGTTATCCTGCAGACCGTAGAGCCACGCAAGGGCCATGTGCTTTCACAGGCACATCCCTTACACCAAGGCACATGCCATGTCCTAGTATACTCTTAGCTGACAAATTTTGGGGGTCAGTGAAGTCCTACAGTTCTCTCCTTATCAGCAATGGGAGAGGGACAGAAATGCTTATGTCCCAAACTTTTCTCCGTCTCAGTGACATGGATGTGTTGATATTCAACACAGTCCCTAAACAAAGTGAAAACTTAGTTGTTGACCTCCTTAAAAAAAAAAAAAAATATAGAAAAAAAGCCTTGCTATACACCCCATTGCCCGGCCGCTCTGGCCAGTTCCGTTTCCTGTCCTTTGTGGCGCTGATTGGAGACCCCGGTGTGGGGGAGGTCTTAACCACTTACAGGAACGATGGCAATAGCTAATAAAATGCACGGTAGTTTAAGTAAGGAAATACCTTCCTTTGCTAAATTTTCGTAAGTCAGAACAAATGGAAAAGATAGTATTTAGACTAATCCAGATTTGCTTTATGTGAAAAATGTAGTATCTGGATTTTCTTTTTCCTTTTCTCATGGCCTAAGGAATAAGTATTGATAAGAATAATTTGAATGTAGATTTGTGAATGTGTATGGAAACTATAAACCAGGGATTTAGCCTTAATAAAAGGTAACCTTTCTGACATCTGTTGTTAATACCCCTTTGTACTCTTACCTTGTATCTGCACTGTTCTCGAGTTGTCATACTGCACACCGTATTGTAAAAACAAAGTAAAATTATATTTCAAATAAAACCATTGAGTACGTTCTGTGTTTACATCCTCTGCTAGTCAAGGTTTCAACTCACCTAACCACTCGGTCTGCAAGTTTTTGCCAGAAATAAGTCCACTGGAACCTCTGCGTGAAACATAAAATACCTTTTAATTTATTCTTCATGGTGGGGGAGTGCCCCCTATTGGCACAGACATAGGTTCTGTTTCCTTGTTTTAAAAAAATTTTATTAAAGATAGATAGCGTAACACTGTGAACTTAAACATTTTCTAGGAAAAAAACGTATGTAAATACTCGGGCAAATTCCACTTATATGCAGCCAAGGATTTGCGGGGACAAAGGCTAGGGATGTGAGTTGACAAATACATAACATTCACTCTTCTACTGTACCACTCTCAATCTCCCAAAGGAGGCAATCATACCAACAAAAAGTGTCACACAGACACACACTCTGGCTATTCATGATCGTTCCCTTCCCCTACGGATCACATCACCCCACACAACAAATTCGGTTCACAATTTTCTTCTGATTTCTAAGTTAACGATATGCTAAAACCGTAAAGTCATCGCGGTTTTGTAGGGAGTTTAGCCAAGGCCAATAAAAAGGAGCTTTAAGAAGCCACAGGAGAAATCTAGGTGCTTCTTTGGCCTCGGCGGGTGAAGGTGAACACTGAATTTACTGAAGTGAAAAACCATTAAGTAATCTGGGCTCTCATACCCTTCCAGCTATTTTTTTGGCCTCCTAGAGAGGCAGTACATACCGCTTAAGAACCAAGGCCTGCATCCTAGCTCTGCTGTCTGACCTGACAAGCCTCAGTTTCCTCATCTGTAAAATGGAGAGAATAGTATTTACACCTCACTCCGGTGTTGGATTAAATGTTAAGCCTTGAAAATAGGAACATTGAACTGCTTAGGAACTCACCTGTTGGTTTTCCAATCACTACTGAAGTTACTTACAGAATAAAACCTCCAATTCAAAACAGGATTTGCCAAAACTCAGCTCCTCCAGGACAGGCCTTAGATCTTACCTTTACCCAAAGTTTTAAATATAGGAGAGGCAAGAAAGATTAGAAGGGTATAAAAACACTGAAGGTAGACTGCCTGGATTCAAATCCCAGATTCACCACTTTCTAGCTTTTTGAGCTGGGACCAATTACTCCAGCTCCTTGGGCCTTAAAGTCGTCTTCTGTGAAATGTGGGATTAAAATAACATGTATGTCTTATGGTTGCTGTGATAATATAAATAAAACACTTAAAGCAGGGCCTGGCACATAACTAAGATTATTTTGTAGCAGGTATTAAATGTTTGCAAAATTACTTGGTACTTTTAAAAGCCTAGGCTTATGATATCAGTTGACTTAAATACAATACTCATAAGCCAAGTGTTAACAATTTCACCCAAAACTGTTCCATAGCCAGTCACTTCAGAAATGCCCAGGACTGGGTACAAGAAAGCCTGAGTAAACATGGATGGCTCACCAAATCAAACAGCACGAAAAACCTCAGTCAGCTCCTGAGATGGCCACTCAAATGCCTCATCTTCCTATTTAATGGAAGATAGCAAGTGTTACTGCTTATAAGATAAAAGTTACCTTATTACTTACTCTCAGATGAGAATTATTTTTTCTTAGATTAGGAAAGAAAGTATTAATAACCCCTCTTAACTCACTGGCATGTTTATGAATACCCCAAAATTCAACAATCATCTCAGTAAGCTTGTCCTCCATGTCTGCAGAGGAAGCTCTAACCCTCGTGCCAAACTGAGGATAAGAACGTGACTGATAGTGAATTAAAAAAAAAAAGAACAATTCATTTTTAAATCATTTTACTGTTTATACCATAATCACATTAAAATTGGCAGAACTCCCATGACAGACAGGACAGAGACCTGCCATGCAAGGCAAATAGTGAAGGTTTCATAAAGCTGGAGACAAGTACCAGGGTCCCACAGGATGGCTGCAGCGATCTCAGACAGCAGTGCCACGGTGTCGGAGCAGGTGGGAACACAGGTGGCCACGGCCATAGCTGGCCTGAGGCCACTGCTGTTTCCTAAGGGGGATTTCCTAATATGCGTGGTAAGCAGATCACTTGAACAGATGTACATGGAGCAGGGTACTGCTGCTGCTGAATAAATTCTACAAGTTCCTGGGCAGGGGCTACAAATCTCATGTGATAAATGGTTGCTGAATTAGGATTTTGCAAAGGTAGTCCCATAACCAACATCCAGGGAAATTTTACCACCAGTGAAATTCTTAGGCCAAAAAATAAAGAGCCACACATACCAAACCTACACACCGTGAATTAAAATGGTGCCATGTTAGAGCTTATGAAAGAACCAGAGCAGGAAAGGTTATTCAAACAGAAGATCCTCATCCTTCTCTTCAGCCAGAAGATTAGCAGGCTCCATCACCTCACCAGCTGCCCTCCGTTGTTCCAAGTCCTTCTCAGATTTTTCCTTGAGAATCTTTTTCTTCTCCTGTATTTTCTTTAATCTGTAAAACAAAAGGGAATTTTCTGAACACTTTCAGTTCTAAGTATATCTGACCTCTGCTAGTTTTGTAACAAGGATCATAAACACAAACTAGAACAAAATTTTACTTTTTTTTCAAATTCAATGATCTCTATAATCCATTTTTAAAATAAAGATTTGAGGTAGAATACACACATTTTAAGCTGATAATGGACTTTGAAGGGGTCGGGGGAAGGGAGACTATCCACGTCCTACATGTCTGCAGTGAAAGCTTTTTTTAGAAGACAATCCCATGTGCCAATCTCAGCATAAGAATGTGACTGATACTCTTAGCAGTAAATTTGTTTTAGGGGCGCCTGGGCTCAGTTGGTTAAGCAACTGCCTTCGGCTTGGGTCATGATCCTGGAGTCCTGGGATCGAGTCCTGCATCAGGCTCCCTGCTCAGCAGGGAGTCTGCTTCTCCCTCTGACCTTCTTCCCTCTCATGCTCTCTCTCTACCATTCTCTCTCAATAAATAAAAAAAAATCTTAAAAAAAAAAAGTAATTTTTTTTTAAAAAACGTTCCTATCCCAGACTCAATAAACCTTGAAATCCATCCCTTGATAATGGAACACCTTTTAAGCATTCAAGACATTTATTAAAATTTTGAATCAGTTTGGATCACCACAATCCTGAATGTCACTGAAGGAAAGAAACACAATAACCTTTTATAATTAAGATTATAAATCATAGATGGCCACATCTTCCCTGAATACGGGCCTCCACCTGTCTCCCACCATCTCTGAACCTGGCACACTGACCTCTGTATACTACCTTTTTAGTATCTGTTGTCCCTACCAGCTGCAGTTGTTCATAACCAATTCATGTACACGCCTCATTTCTGAGTACTGTGCTAATTCTCTAATGGTATGATTTATATTATTACATGATGCCCCCAAGTACTTTATACTTTCTCCTGGAACATGTTCACCATGCAATACATAGTTGTTGATTAATTGCAGTTTCTTTTTATGAGGCAGACACCTGATCTAAATTATTTCATTTTAAAGAATAATCAAGTCTATGAATAGTTTCTCCTAAGGGCCTAACTTTTTGGAGATGACATATTTTAAATAATGCAAAACTTGGCATAGATTAGTCTCTAGAGCCTTTGCCAATATTATGTCTTGCTTCTCATTTATCAGAATAAAATACAGGCTGTGCTAATTCTAAAGAACATAAGCCAACAGTCTCTCAGCAAACTGAACCTTTGGAATATGAGAAACAAAAAATGATCAATAATTGCCATTTCCAACAAACCTATAGAACTCTTCTCGCTCTCTCTCATCCAGCTCTGTGATGATATAAGCAAGGGTACGTTCAATCCGGGGAATGATGACTAGGGTTTAAAAATATATATATATGAGAACTTCAGACCTTTTTTCAAATTGCCAGTGTTCATTTGTGTAACATTTTCTAATTGTAAAATTAATGTACATTTAATGCAGAAAACTTAGGAAACAAAAAAAATAAAAGTGTATAATCCAACCACCCCAAAATAACTACTCAAAGTATTTCGGTATATGCCCTTCTAGTGTCCCTTCTATGGACAGATAATATACACAATATATACAACATAATTCAATGGACCACAATATACATAACATTGAACATACTGAATTTATATGAATATACAACACTGAACCACAGATGTTATTTTAAATATAATCACAATCCCTGTTAAAAAGCAGATCATCAAGCAGAGAGAATGCACTAAGTTGAGTTTTAGGTTAGTCATAAGGTGCTGCTTTACAGAGAATTTGCCGATCTGCTTCTAAAATGTGAACTCATGGGCACCTGGGTGGCTCAGTCGTTAAGCGTCTGTCTTCGGCTCAGGTCATGATCCCAGGGTCCTGGGATCGAGCCCCACATCGGGCTCCCTGCTCTGCAGGAAGCCTGCTTCTCCCTCTCCCACTCCCCCTGCTTGTGTTCCCTCTCTCGCTGTCTCTCTCTGTCAAATAAAACCTTTAAAAAAGAAAGAAATTAAATAAAATGTGAACTCGAGTGCCGAACTATCACCTTATCCATTATGTTTTGCTTGCAGTTCCACTTACAAGGTTGGCACTAGCAACTAGTCAGGAAGTGTGTGTTGAGTTTTTAAAAATGAGATAACTTCCTCTTTAACACTGAGAACGTAAAATAACTTATTTGCTGTTCAAAATTTGTTCCTTTCTTACCTTAAAATTGAGTATTTCTTTAGCGAAAATAGAGTTTCTTGAACGGAAAATACTGTGCCAACACTAAGCACAGTTACAGAATAAGAGATGGAAAATATATGCATCAAATGGGAAAATGTTTAGTAATCAAGGAGAAGAGCAGGACAGAAAGCCTACAGGAAAGGGATTTAAAGTTAAATATTTAATGTGTTCAAAAAGATCACTGAATCACTGGAAAGAACTAAAGAAAACAATAGGGCTTTTAAAAAATAGTTTCGTCCTTTATTCATGACCAGAAATGAATTAAACACTTCAGAATTTTTAACTTAACCATTCCCTTATGTATATGGACTCAGGGGGAGTGACACAACTCTATTAAAGCACTTACTACTAACCCCTTCCTGGGGGCGGGGCTGACCCACGCCGCCCTGCCCACTGGGGATGGGGCAAGGTCTTACTCTCCTTGCAATCGGTGCCTGAATCCCACGCAAACGTGGAGCTATGGACAAGTGGACGAACAAAGAGCCACACAGCAGCACACACTCACCGTGTTCAATGGCATTGACACGCCTGTTGGTTATCTTAATGGCTTCATCCAAAGTAACAAAGGAAGTCTAAAATTAGAGGACAAATTAGTAATTTAAGCATGAAGTTTTCCTAATTGTGTCATCTGGCTTTAAGCAGACTGCACTTGTAGAGAACATCTGGAAACCAAGGCTACATTTCAACAATTTCCATAGAACACTATTTCCAGGCTATTATAATGTGTTTACTTCAGATTCGCCTAAAGTTATAAAAATGGCAAGGGGAGAGAATCAGGCACGATGACATATTATATATATTAACTGGCCACAAAGGGGAAAAAATAGCTTTCATGCATAAACTGTTATATTTGCAGTTAAATCTGGTATTGACTGCTGCTGTTCTCAACGACCAGAGTGAAAGTCTACCAATACCAATGCACACACGTTTCGTTAGTCATCAGTAGGGACAATGGTGCGGAAACCACCATTTCAGAAATCAAAATGTCTCTGGTTCGTTTCCCATTAAATCCCGGAAACAGCCTAAATCCCAGAAACAGCCTAAAGCCCTAAGTGCGGGACCCTCTCAGAGAGAGGACCCTCAGACACCCAAGTGCGGCAGGAACTCTCCGGCTGCTGCGCTTACCTGAAGCGAAGCCAGTTCCACCAGTAACTCCACTGCTTTGGCGTAGTTCCTCTTTAATTTTGCCAACTGCTCCCCACCTCGGGCTAACCCAGTCAGTTCATAACCTGAAAGAACCAGTCAGGCAACATCTGTCATTACCGAGTAAATAATCTTCCCCACAAATTTCCCCAAAAGAAGTCAGACTAATACCAAACAAGGAGAAATGAATTCACTGACGCCAGGCCAGGCTGCACAGTCAGTATGTTTGGTTTTTCTGATGTGAGGTTTTAAGCATTTGGTTTTTTTTAGTTTTTATTGAAAGTCCAGTTAAAATACAGTGTAATATTAGTTTTAGGTGTTCAGTATAGTGATTCAACACTTCCACACGATACCTGGTGCTCTCACAAGTGCGCTCCTTGCTCCCTATCGCCTATTTCACCCCTGCCCCCCCACCCCCTCCCGTAACCATCAGTTTGTTCTCTAGAGTTAAGAGTAACAGTGAACATGTTTTTCTTCCCAAGGAAACTATTCTAAATGTAACTATAGGAGAAGCTTTTAACCACTGGGCCCCACTGCCTTGGGCATGTTATGGCCTGACGCCCACAGTACAGTACCACTCCAGTAGCCGGGGGATCCCTAGCTTGCTCCACTTCTTCATTTGAGCTACACTAAACACTCTATGTGAACCAGTGGAAGATAAATGCCAAAAATTATTGTTTCTATGAAAAAAAGTTGATTACTTTGGAAAGACTCCATAAAGATGTGTTACTACCCAAATGCTATCAAATTAGGAAATGCTAAGACAATTGTAAAAAATTGAGAATACGCTATAAAATCTAGGAAGATTTAGCATTCAGATTGCATCACAGAGTCTAAGACCTTATTTTACTTTATAGAAACTCAAACTGGAAATTATAAACAATGCATTATGGGTGTAGTTTATGCAGAAAGATAACACAGAAGTCTAATTAGTGGATTCATACTCAAAGGCCATGGGCTTGCACTTTTAATGGCAAATGACTGTTTATGTATTTCTAGGTTGAAATAAAATATTTTAAGACATTATGTTTTATGACTCCCAATTTTATTAACTGATTAACTCTTGTCCCAACTGTACCATATAAGAAGGATGCCCACTGGAACCACTAAACTCTAAGAAAGTCTATCCAGCACCAATTTTCCAGGAAAAGGTTCATTTAAAGAGGAATCTGGAGAAGGCAGAAACATACCCTACCAAAGTGTCACACTTACTGTCAGTTCCTTCATGGTAATGTTCAAACACTGGCAAAGTAACACCTGTTAAACACAAACATGTGGATTCACAAGTATGTCCTCGAAGTACTGTTTCTTGATCACCATTGTTCCCTGTGTTTCTTTTTCAGCAAATACTCAAAAGTCAAGAGACTGTCTGGAATTTAACTGGTTTCAATGAATGAATTTTTAGGAACCTGGTACCTTAAGTGTCCATTCCTATTTAATAATCAAATTATCCTGAGTAATAAGAGATCAAGCTGTTGGGCGCCTGGGTGGCTCAGTTGGTTGAGCGACTGCCTTCGGCTCAGGTCATGATCCTGGAGTCCTAGGATCGAGTCCCACATCGGGCTCCCTGCTCGGCAGGGAGTCTGCTTCTCCCTCTGACCCTCTTCCCTCTCGTGCTATCTCTCATTCTCTCTCTCTCTCTCTCAAATAAATAAAATCTTTTAAATAAAAAAAAAAAGATCAAGCTGTTATAATTATTTTCCTTTCAGCTTTGAGGTATATGTAAAATGCAAAAAAAAGAAAAAAATTGCACATACTTAATGTATACATTTTGATGAATTTAGATACATGTATACACCCATGATACCATTACCACAATCAAGGTAATAAACATTATCTATCACCTCCAAAGATTTGTGTCCCTTTTCTTGTTTGTACATTAATACTCAACACAAGACCTACCCTAAGTTTTTAAATACACAACACTGCATTGTTAACTATAGGCACTACATTGTACAGCCAATCTCTATAAGGTATTCTTCATGTATAACTGTAACTTTATCCCCATTTCCCCCACCCCATCCTCTGGCAACCACCAGTTACAAAGATTTTAACATGTAAAGCAAATCAATTTGTTTTAAGTAGAAGAGATTAATTAGGACATGAAGATCTTGCCATATAAACAGGTTAATTTTTAAAGGTCATCTTTTCTTCCTAAGGACTCTGAAGGGTTGAAAAGTTACCTGCTACGTTATCTTTCTTAGCTCGGATCTTCACTTGGGCTTTATTTACATTTTGGATAACTGTGGTGCTGCAGAAAAAAAAAAGGCCTTGATTTAGTTGAGGTTTTAGAGTAAGAAATAAAACTACAGGGACCCATCAGGTAATTTCAACAAGGGTGAGATAGCACAAGTATGTTTTGATAATTGTCTTTCCAGAAAAAGGAAAATCACTGCTGCCAGAGGAAGGTCTCAGAGAGCAAAGAATGAACCGTAGGAAAACCGGAAAGAATGATTTTAAAGTACACGGACTGCTCGGGCATGTGGTGCCACAGATGTGACTTTAAGGATTTTTATTCAGCCAATGTAATTTAGAGAAAACTCCTGGGGTGCCTGGGTGGCTCAGTCGTTAAGCGTCCGCCTTCAGCTCAGGTCATGGTCCCAGAATTCTGGGATCAAGCCCCGCATTGGGCTCCCTGCTCTGCGGGAAGCCTGCTTCTCCCTCTCCCGCTCCCCCTGCTTGTGTTCCCTCTCTCGCTGTCTCTCACTGTCAAATAAATAAAATCTTTAAAAAAAAAATTTTTTTTTAGAGAAAACTCCTTCCTTTTAGGTTTGCTGTCCAAACCCTCTAGATTTGGCTAAGTAGGAGTTCAATTCCTTTACCCTGGAACCTAATTTCCACCTGGTTTTGTCTGACTCCCCAACCTGTTCTTATCATAAAGTGTTTTCACCATAACCACCCTAAAACGCATTGACATACCACTTACATACTGTTGATTCCCTCCTGCTGCTAGAACACTGGCAAAAATTAAAGTCCATCTCTTCAAGAGGTCTTAAGCCCCTGCGGTTTTAAGACCTGTCAGCTAATGCTCCTGAATAACACAAACTAGGAATGGAGACATTGTGTCACTGGGTAAGACAACTAAAATAAAAAATCCTGAAAACAGTTTCCACCTCTGTCCCCAAACAGCCACCTGACCTCAGGAAGGCACTGAATTTAAAGGGAGAAAAACAATGTTTGCCTGGTTTACCACACAAGCTTATTTGAGGAGAATCACACAACATAACTGGCAAAACCCCCGTGTAAAGCAAAAACTAAACCATTTACATGCTTTGTATATAAAGCATATATTGATATGACAAAAGTCTTAGAATTCATGCCCTTTAAACCAATTCCATTCTCAAACTTATCCTAAGGAAATAATTCTAGAGAAACAAAAATATATATGCATGAAAATGTTCATGGCATTTTTTCTAATATTCTAAAACTCTGAAAATCAACCCAAAAGTTCACCATTAGGAGAAACAGTTAATAAATTATGTATATCTAGAAAAAGGTTATACAGCTATGTGAAAATAAGATGTTTAGGACACAATGTTAAATGAAAACAGACTACAGAATGTTAAGTATCCTGTGCCTACAACTCTGTACCAGACGTGTATGTGATAATAAAGACACTGGTGTTAGGATCATAGAGTAATAAAGAACACTTTTAACCTCATCATTTGTCTTTAGTGCTTAGATGTTTTATAATTAACAGTAGCTTTTAAGGGAAATTATGAACATGAAAGCACTTTGATTTTTTTAAAACACCCCATTAAGTTCTTCTTACCTGAAATCCCCTGCTGTGAACTTGGCCTCAGCAAGTGAAAAGGCAGCTTCTCTCATCACTTCACCCATCAACATTTTAGTCTGGAAAAGCATAAACCAACAGCTGATTCAACCACGTTTTGTACAAGGGAAAAAACATCAATATCATGTTCCTTTAATAACCAGTATTTTATACAAGGTGTGTGTCTAAAATATTGACTTAACAAAAATGGATATCCAATTTTGCTTGAACAGTTTGGTTATGGTAACTAACAGTGTTGCAACACCATATGTTTTATAATTAAAACATTAAAATAAAGACATTAAGAAATAGAAAATGATCTTTACTAAAGGACTATCTTATTCCTGAATGGGTCCATACTAATGTGCTCAAATTAATCTCTCAAATTCACTGCAGTGCAGTTAAAATCTTAATGGCATAGTGATTCTAATATAAACCTGGACTATTTAATGTTTGAAAAAATCCAACAATCTTTTTGAAAGAAAAAAAGCTAGAGCAGGTAGGCAGAGTTGCCAAGTATTAAAAATAAGGAAATACATCCAATACGGGGACAAATAAGTCAGTGAAATAGAGTTCATAAAGAGCCACAGGTCTCTATGGAAATTTAATAACAGACCATTCAAATGGCCACCCACTTAAAAAATGAGCTTATCCCTATCTCCTTACATCACACACTCCGGAAATTCTTAAAGATAAAACAAACAAACAAAAAAAACTATGAAACACAAAATATTTTCTTAATCTTTTTAGGTCTTCCTAAACACTATATATAACCCAAAAACCATATTAAAAAAAAAAAAAAGACTAACAGATTTGACCAAATAAGTATTTTTTTAAAAAAAGTTAAAGGCCAGAGAGAAATATTTTTAGTATTTTACACATTAACTAGAATATTTGCAGAACTCCTACAAAAAGAAAAATTCACCAAGAAAATCAAATTACCCATAAACATGAAAAGATGCTCAATCTCACAATCAAAAGTAGTGCAAATTAAAAGATACTAATTTTAGGGGCATCTGGGTGGCTCACTCAGTTGAGCGTCCAACTCTTGATTTTGGCTCAGGTCATGATTTCAGGGTCGTGAGATCAAGCCCTGCGTCAAGCTCTGTGCTCATCATGGAGTCTGCTTGAGATTCACTCTCTCCCTCTACCCCTCCCTTGGCTCACTCGCTCGCTCTCTCTGAAATAAATACATCTTTTTTTAAAAAAATAAAAATAAAAGACACCAATTTTAGCTCAAGAGATTGGCAACAAATAAAAAATATTAACACCCAGTTAGGAAGAATCTGAAAGAATAGGTCCTCTCACTAATCATTTGGTGGGAATGTAAATTAGTATTACAAGTTGGAGAACAATTTGGCAATTATCCATCAAAATTTAAATGAATAGGGGCACCTGGGTGGCTCAGTTGGTTAAGCAGCTGCCTTCGGCTCAGGTCATGCTCTCAGGGTCCAGGGATCGAGTCCCGCATCAGGCTCCCTGCTCAGAGGGGAGCCTGCTTCTCTCCCCCAAACCCCCCACTCCCACTCATGCGCTCTCTCACTCTCAAATTTTTTAAAAACCTTTAAAAAATGCAAGTGACAGATCCTAGAGATTCTATGACTTTCCAGAGAAATGCTAGCACACATACTGTTAGAAGGTGGAGGAGCGACAGTAAAGTATCCTGCAGAGGGAGAAGGCACTCTGAGACAGAAAAACATACAAGCCACTCCATACTACTCACACAGGTTTACTCCAGGTAACCTACCGACAGGGAGGGATAGGGAAGACAAACAATCCAGGCAGCTATACAGCTACTCTCCCCACCCCTGCTCCCTGCCAAGTCTGCACCATAACCACTTTCATAGAGCGAGGGGGCGTGGTAGGGAGGTCACAGGGTAGGTACCTAACGTGGTGGGACCCTCTGTGCACCAGCCATCTCTACTAGCTGCCTCAAGCAGTACCCTTTGTGTACCACTTAGGAAAGATGAGAACAACCCTTCCCACCTTTCAATCAGGGCTAACATTAACCTCCATGGGGCCCGGAACACACAGCCCCAAGGAGTCACTGTGTGGCATGAACAAGATGGAGGAGCTAGAACGGGAGGCAGTGTTGTCAGCACTCCTACACTCTACCCTCAACATCCTTCCGGCCGGGATCATCTTTTCACGCCATTCTTCCGCAAGGACCATAAAGCCAGGTATTGGGAAGTGACTTGCATCCCTATACCACAGCAGCAATATGATTATACATCTAAGACCAGAGGAAATACTTAGAACTATGGTTCCCCAACAACCCAGTAAAGAGGTCCTTTCCACAGACCCAGCAGTTGGAGTGCCCGAAAACTTCAGTGTAAGTGTGGCCTGTAACAAAATGTTTCCAGACACAATAGAAACATTAACAATGCAAGGTTATGGGCTGTAAGAAATGTTTTACAAGCAATAGATCTGGCAGATCTTCAGTTAGCAACAACAGGGTAGTGGTTTCGTCCCCAGGAGGTAATATAGATCATCCCTGGCTTTGGTATTTTCCCTGGGAGAGGAAACCATTTATTTTGCTCCTTAATAGCATCAGAGGATGTGTCTATGTTGTACATACACAACCATACTAACAACCCTACCCCAACACCAAGAGTCAGAGGTTCAGAAGCAGTTCTTTGCATGTGCTGGGCCCTGACCAATATATAACAAAGGGTTAATACCACCGGATGTGAGGTGTTGGCCCCAAGGGATTAGGACACCAAGCCACCTGAAGAAGGCATTCCAAGCCAATTTCCGATGACCTAGAGCCTTCCCAGATGGGAAGTCTTGTAGCAATCACAAAAGCAGTCCCTCTGCCGCCAACAGGCCTCAGACCTCCCAACAACACGTGCACCCAAGAGTTGCACGGGTGTTGCTGCTTAGGTGCTCATATGCAGAGGTCTGTCCTCCTACGGGCACAGCCTTAAAAAGCTGAATAGCCAGTTAGTACTGGAGACCATCCTTTGAGGGAGCCACCTGGTGACAAAGTCTTTAATGTGTTTCCTATTAGTCCATTCATCCTTCCAGTTAGACCTGCAGCAGTGAGACTGTATGGCAGGTGGGAAGTCCACAATATATCCCAGGCCTCTGCCCATTCGTGGACATCACGACCAGTAAAACGTCCCTGGATCACTATCTGAGTCGGTGTTTGTACATGCTCTCCAGTTCTGTTAACCTGTTATGGTTGCAGCCTGATTAGCTCTTTTATAGGCAAAGGCTTATACAAGTCCTGTGCAAGTGTCCACACGTGGGTCAGTGCACGTTTGAGCCCTTCCAACACTGGCAAAGGGCCTATGTCATCTATCTGCCATCGAGAAACAAGGCTTGTAGTCCGCCCAATATACCCCAGGGTATGGCACAATGACCATCACCTGAGGTGGCACTGGAGGCAGTTCTTGTCAGCAGCTTGTAGACTGAAATATTTTTTCTTTTCAAGATTTTTATTTCAGAGAGAGAGTGACAGAGATAGTGAGAGAGAGCACAAGTGGGGAGGAAAGGGAGAAGCAGACTCTCTGCTGAGCAGGGAGCCTGACGTAGGACTCAATCCCAGGACCCTGGGATCTTGACCTAAGCCGAAGGCAGACGCTTAATGGACTGAGCCACCCAGGCGCCCTGTAGATTGAAATATTTTAAAGGCAAACAATCTTTTTACTATTTGCCAAGTAGTTCTGGGACCTCAGTTGGTGTCCCGATTTACAATGAACCCACTCTGCTACATCAGACAGGGTCAGCATTTCCTCTAGAAGAACTGTGCCTGGCCTAGAGCGTTTGCCTCATAATTGCCTGGTAGTGTGGATGGGGAGTGAGCAGGGACACAGGGTCATACTCGGACAGCTGCGTCAGGCTCAGGGCATACTTCCCAAATACCTTCCCACAGTTCTCCCCACAGAGCTCTATTTATTACACCCCAACTGGGGTGCCTGGGTGGCTCAGTCGTTAAGCATCTGCCTTCGGCTCAGGTCATGGTCCCAGGGTCCTGGGATCGAGCCCCGCATCGGGCTCCCTGCTCCGCAGGAAGCCTGCTTCTCCCTCTCCCACTCCCCCTGCTTGTGTTCCCTCTCTCGCTGTGTCTCTCTCTGTCAAATAAATAAAATCTTTAAAAAATAAATAATACACCCCAACCTTCTCTGTGCCATCAAAGCATCCATGCTGTCAACCCTTACAACACTGCCCAGCTGCAATAGCCAAATCGATGTGCACTGGCTCATATGTCAACACAATCCATACCACTCTCAATTCTGCCCACTGACTACTTTTAGTTTTTCTTCAAACCAAAGTACATCAGAATCCAGCCGAATGGCAGAGGAATGCCAAATAGGCAGGTTTCCCCTACAACTGCCATCAGTATACTATGCATCCACGGGAGGTGAGGCTTTCCCTTCCTTTACTTAGGGGAAGGGAGGCATAATGTCAGCGACTCCTAGAAGTTGGGTTGGGTTGACTTAGGTGACTGGCCCTATTAATGAGTGTAGCTCATGAGATAGTGGGCTGGTTATTTACAAGCGCTCCTCCGCTGTAGGTAAGCATGTTATTTCTATAAGGTGCTTACCTGGGCACAGGCACACACAGGTTTGCTGAACAAGTCCTTAATTCATGCCATCATAGGCAAATCAGCACTCATTCCTTCTGTCTGTTGCAGCGCAAGATACATAGCTAATAGTTGTTCTTCCATGGGACTACACCTGGTTTCTATTCCCTTCCATAAATGAGACCAGAATCCTAACAGGATCCCACAAGCCCCAGCCAAGCCCTTCTAGATACAAATTTACATCTAATTCACAACTCACACCTGGCATTAATACCCCCAAGGTCCATATTTGTTTTACTGCCATTTTTGCCCTTAAGATAGCCTCTTATTGGAGGACCTCAGTCAGTTAAGCATCTGCCTTTGGTTCAGGCTGTGATCTTGGGGTCCTGGGATGGAGCCCCATGACCTCGGGCTTCCTGCTCAGCTGGGAGTCTGCTTCTCCCTCACCCTCTGCTCCTCCTCTTCTCCCTTCTCATGCTAATAAATAAAATCTTCAAAAATATACATATATAGCCTCTTATCAGTTTGCACCCCAATCCCATCGGCTTACCCTCCTAACCAAGGCATTTACTTGGTTAAGGCATTTACAAGGAATCTACTCTATTCCTAGATAGGGAACAAAAAGTCTCCAGTAACCCAATAAACCAAAAGCCTGTAATTCCTCTACCATTTTAGGGATTGTGAAGGCTTGCATTTTACTAATGACCACCTCTGGCATCACTTGTCTTACTTGACCAGATGATGCCCAGGAACTTTACCGATTAACCCAGCCCTTGGATCTTGTCGGTATTTACCTTCCATAATGCTTAGCAAGACCAAACTGGGTTGTCTGAATTCTCTTTCAGGATCCTGTATAAAATTAGATCTTGCCATAATTGTTTGAGAGACCCTGATGGGCCCCCTTTCTGCCATTTTATCACCGGGAGAATCCTTTGTTTTTCCCGTTTTTCAACCTATTTCCCTTATGGCAGATTCTTTTGGTTTCACTTACGTCAGCCACCATAGTAGCTACCGTAGCAATGGACCGATTAACCATAGGGGCAAGGACAGATATTAAGTCCCATACCATATCCCCGTGGCTGACTGTAGTATAAGGTCTTCCATACAAGAGAAAATTCTTTTTTTTTTTTTTCATGTAAACCTTTTGTTTTAATAAATAAGACTGATTCATGGCTTAGATTCTAAATCACAGTTACAGATGAGGAACGCTTCTAGGCCCAAACAGGTGAACAGTGAAGCTACTAGTGCTGGCAGGAATGCATGCTCCCCATGCATCTGAAGCCTAAAGAGCAGAGACTGAATGTCAGAGAACACCACACACATCACCCTCTAGACTCGAGAACGACAGCAGAAGACAAGAGGAAGAGCAGAGACTCGGGGAAGCGCTGGTAACCACCATCTGATACCCTCACCTTCATGCTACAGAAGCAAATGGAAGTTGTGCTACTTTCAGTAAGCTAAGAAGGAGATTTCCTGATCATAGTAAGTGAAACTTTCTCTCCTGTTAACAATTAGGCCAAGGGTATTAGCTAGAGAGAGGATCCACTGATAAATACAGATTAGAACAGCGAAGAGGAAGCCACACAGATATCTTCTTACTTCAAATATCAGAAACTTCCGCATGACAGAAGGAGAGCAGTGAATGAACTCCACCTCGCCCAAAGGTTTACTCCAAAAACTTCCTGTTGGCATTTGCACCAAATAAGGCTCCCCGTACTTCTGGCATCATCTGCTGGGCTATGAGATCCAGCCAGCTTTCTAGGGTATTGGAAACTTTTATTTTATGATCCCCATTATAGATCTCAACCCCACCAGCTATTTCCTCAGGCAGGTAGGCCTCCTGATCAATTTGGACAACAACATCTTTTTTGGTGGCAATTTTGTACATAGGAATTGCTTTTTGCACTGCAGCCTTTACCAGAGGGAAATCCTGCTTCCTGCAACGATCATTCAAGGCTCTAACAATTGGTACAAACCCTGAAGGACCAGTCCATCCAGCAGCACCTGGTATCTGGTTGTATCTTTTACCACTTTGCTGAGTCTCTGTTTTGCTTCATTTAGTAGGTCTATAATAAGGTCATCTCTTGCTCTGAGGACTTTGAGCCTTGCTTGATTCATCAAATTAGACATCTGAATTTTCTTCTGCTGCTCAATCTGCTTTTCTTTCTTCTCGTAGTATTCCATAATCTTCAGTCTTTGGGTTTGCACAAGACGACCTTTCTCAATGTTGAACTCTTCCTCTGCCTTTGCATCTATTTCCTCTGCTTTCTCATTGGCTTCTTGTTCAATAAAAGCCATCATATGCTTAATCTGCTTTTGCACGTCAGCATCGCTGAGGGTCATGGCGAAAGCTCTGCTAGGCCAGAGGCCCACTGGCTCTAGCTCAGGCTGGAAGGGGGCTGTGGAAGGAAGTGAAAAGAAAATCCAGCGGAGCTTTCGGCTTCCTTCGCTTTATAACTCTGGCTTCCGGTTCCTCAAGAGAAAAATAATTCTTTGTCTAGATCTCTAAAATGCTAGGTGTAAATGGCAGCTTTCAGTCCCAGTTTACACAGAATTTCTTGTAGTTCTTCCCTGGAGATCAAGGAACATACCCCTTTTATACCAAGTTATCTTAATTCTAGCATTTATCCAATCAAGTTAACTAAGTGCCTGAGATTCTGTCCCAGGATTGTGGCATATATTTGTTGCAAGGCAGAATGACCACTGACTGGGGCCATTTTTGACATCCCAAACCTCCAAGAGGATACCCTCTTCCCGGTGTCCCACCATGGCAACGCCCAAGCTGCCACCCCTTGTCAGCCGCCCTGCCTAAAGCGGCTGACCTGCTCCACTGAGTCAGTGGCAGAATATTCCCTCACTGTCATACCCTGACTAGCGGGAATTTTTTTCTCCCTCATCCTCAGGCAAGCAGGTAGCCTGGGGCTCTGTTTGAATCAGAGGGCGTGTCTATATATCATCTTCCTCCTCTAGGACAACCTCCTCCTCATCAGAGTCATCACCCCAGGGATCCCAGGCTCTGGGTCCCCACTCTCCCGAGACATCACAGTTCTCCCTTCAGCGTGCAGAGGCACTCACCCTCTCCACCCTCCCAAGCCCATAATTCCCAAGCGTCCCTCCTGCTGTTGGGATTCCTCCAGACACGCATCCCGAGGGGGAGGAACGTGCGGCTCACACATCCCCTTCCAAAGCCAACGCTTCTCCGGTCTGCAGTCTGCTCTGATTCCCGCCCTATTCCCGACTCCGTCCCCGGCGCCTCACCAAGCACACACGGAGGCCCAGCCATGCTGCAACTGCTGGACGGCGGCTCTCCCTTCTCCTCTCAGGCAGGCCTTCCAACACCCTGCTTTCACAGAGCAAGGGGCTTGGTGGGGCGGTCACGGGATAGTTAGCTCAAACGGCACCTCCTGCGCGCCACTCTAGGGAGGGTCAGAACAAAGCCTTCCCACATTCTGGTCAGGGCAAACATTAACCTCCGTGGAGCCCACAACACATAGCCCCGAGGAAGGTGAAAGTGCAGCCATGAACAAGAGGGAGGGCTAAAGATGGAGTCAGTGTTGTCAGTACTCTTACACATACACATAAGGACTGAAGAGTACTCTCCCCCACTAAATAGTAAAACTACGCATTCATCAACAGAAAAATGGTTAAATTCCATTATCCATTCGATGGCATTCCATGCAGCTGTTATAAAGAAAGAGGCAGATCTATGTATTGATGTAGAAAGCGGTCTATACTCTGCCAGGGGGAACAGGCAGGAATTGAATTATATAATGTATAACAGTTGCATGTTACTAAAAACATCCATGATGAAAGAAAGACTATAAATCAAAGTGTCACAGAGAACTCTGGGAAATGAGAAGGGTAGTTGGGAGGGGGAGAGGAATAATCTTCATTTTTTAAAATATATTTCCGTATTCACATTTCATTTACCTAAAAAGCACTGAATTGAAACATACTATATGCCAGCACTGTTCTAGGCACAGGAAATAAGTGCTGAAAGGATTAAGTCCCTGATTTCACAGAACTAACACTCTCTAGTGGGGGCAACCAATCAAACAAGAAAATATGCAGTAGTACACGGTACGACAAAAATAAGGAAATGTGGGGTGCCTGAGTGATGCAACTAGGTAAGCATCAGACTCTTGGTTTCACCACAGGTCATAATCTCACCATTGTGAGATCGAACCCTGCATCTGGCTCTATACTAAGCGTGGAATCTGCTTAAGACCCTCTCTCCACCCTCTCCCTCTGCCCCTCCCTGTGCTCCTGCTCTCTTTCTCCTCTCTAATAAATAAATCTTTAAAAAAAAAAAATAAGGAAACATGACAGAGGTAAATACAGTGGTCACTTCAGATTGGGTGATCAGGGATGGCTTCTCTGAAGAGACCAGAATGATCAGAGGAGCAAATCATAAGTTCTGAGAAAGAACATTTCAAGCAGAAGAAACAGCTAATGAAGCTAATGAAAAGGTCCTGGAGGAAAATGGCAGGGAGAATGCTCCAGATGAGGTTAGAGTGGCAGGCAGGGGCCAGATCGGATCAAGTGGGGCTTTGCAGGCAAGAGTAATGAGTCCATATTTTATATTAAATGATCTGAAACTTGTTACAGTCATAATGGTATTTCTACTTCTGAAAGAAAAAAATTTAATTAAAATAACTTAAAAATTAAAATGCCAATAGCCACGCTGGATTTTCCTTAAATATCTCTAAAATAAATAACTGTTCTAAGCACAGTTCATTCTACCTCTATTATCTTCTTTAGGATCTGTCGAAATCGAAGAGTTAAGGCATCAGATTTTTTCTTCAGGAGGTTTCGACCTGTCTGTGCTCCTTTTAATCGAGCCTTCATGATGGTCTGTGCCCTATATAAACAAAATTAAAAATATTTATTCCCACTGTTTAAAAAACATAAAAATACCTCCCCCAATATAGTACTAAAATTATGCTTTACTCCGATGTCATGAGAGTAAGAATATATAGCATCTGTGCTGACAGTTATAATTAATTGGTTTCTCAATACTGTAGATTTCCATCTTCAGTGTTCCATAAATAAGTTCATTTATTTAAAAGAGAAATAATTCTTTGACCAGTATCTGGGAAAAGTTATTTATTAAATCATAATAAAATTTATCAGGAGTCCTACTTTATGATGCCACCATAGCTAAAATATTTATTTGATTTGCAAGTTAAAATAATGTCTGTGTTTCCATTATAGGTGTATTAAGCATTTTTTAAAAATCTGTCCACTAATAAATATCAAAATTTGAAATGCACTTACCTTCAGGACCAACAATTCCACTGTGAGGAATTTATCCTAAAGATTTACTCCCACATGTACACAAAAATATATACAAGGTTAAGGATGAGTACTCCAGCCTTGTGTGTAATAGCAAAAGGGTGGAAACTAGCTAAATGTTCCATAAATCATGGTTCATCATAAAATGGAACAATATGCAGTCATAAAAAAGAGGAAGGTAAAAGAAGAATATAATCTATATTACATTCTCTTACTCATGCAAAGTAAGGGATAAATATGCTTATATTGATACAGAGAATACTTCTAGAAAAGAGTCACAGAAACTGGTAACAGTTTCCTTTGGGAAATGGGACTGAGTGGGAAAAATGGATTTACTTTTTACTGTATTTATAACACTCTTTTGGACCTTCTCTAATATACACCACAACCAATAATTACTTTTTCTACTGAAAGTGTGGCATTATTTTCATTTCATCAGACAAAATCCTACTACCAATACTTTTATTAACTTGTAAATGACTCAAGGAACCAATGACACATATTTCTGAGAACTGACAAACTACAGAACTCTTCTTACCTTATTCCAATCTTTTCCCATCAGAAACCCCAATACCAAAGTCAAGAAAATAACAGCAAAAATTGACATTTCTGTTCTTGCTACCATATGCCAGATAAAATTTAATAATAAGAAAAAAGTAGGAAATAAGATTTAACAATAGACTATAATGTAGATACTTAAGGTGATTTGTATAAGAGGGTATAATTTCATATGACTGGTGTTATAACCAACTGCAAAATAGCATGTATTAATGGACCTTTGGGTAAATTCTTAGATTTTACTGAAATCTTTTACCATAGGGGAAAGGTGACTGAGACAATTCTATAGCTGGAATAAACTTTGAACATTATCTTGAAAATGAGGCTTAGAAAAATCAAACACTTTCTCCCAGTCACTCTAGGAAAAAAAAAAAAAAAGATTGAAACACATTTCTGACTCCAGTTCCTTGCCCAAGGCTCAAACCAAAGCTCAAACCTAGGCCCACTGTATCCCAACCACATGCCACACTGCCTATTACAAATAGCATCAGATGAACAGTCCTCTCTTTGAAAACTACTATTAGTAGCTGAATTTGCACTGACTGGCCTCATTGGAAGTCTAACCAAGTGAAGCTGGTTCAGTTTCCAGCCTTAGCTGGAGCTATCCACTCCAATGTGTACATTTAGCATATTATCTTGTTGATACTAATGACCAGAATTTGGGCTCAAAGACTTGGATCAAATTTAAGCCAAATCCCAGTATTGCAGATTCAATATGGTAAAAAAGGTGAGCTGGCTGATAAAATTGAATTTACCATGCTAATTTTAATTTCCTCCTAGCTAATGGCACCTGTGAAATAAACACATTTTAATTCCTGAGACGTGAAGAGTGACTTGCCTAAGGGCTTACAGCCAGTATGTCATAGAACCTGGATTTGACGGACTCCTGATTGCAAATCCTTCATGCTTCTTTTGCTTTCACTCTAAACTTGTTTTGTTCTCTCTGCTGCCTAAATGGGAGACAGCCCCACTTCACAGAATAACACTGTAAGGTGGAACTGACACAGAAGTCACTAAAGTATTTTCCATCCTAGCTCTTAAAAAACCGACTCCTTTGTAAGTTTTAGTGCTGCTCAGCACTAGGAAAAAAGTTCGACCTTCAGCTAGAACGATGACTTTGTTTTCAGCTGAATCAAAGACATCTGACTACATGACAAAATACCTGCTGCTAAGCCTTGGGGAAAATATTTAGAGAAGCAGTAACTTCCTGCACCTTATTTTCCTCTCAATCAGCAAGCTGAATGCTCTCAAATAGCAATTTTCAATTTACAAACCTATTAGTCTTCTTGTCTAAGCCCAAAGAAGTCCATTTTCACTTCTTAGTCTCAAAGTAAAAACAAAAAAATGTTAACATTCTGACTACTATCAAAAATAAACACAGCCACAGGGTGCCTGGGTGGCTCAGTCGTTAAGCGTCTGCCTTTGGCTCAGGTCATGATCCCAGAGTCCTGGGATCGAGCCCCGCATCGAACTCCCTGCTCAGCGGGAAGCCTGCTTGTCCCCCTCCCACTCCCCCTGCTTGTGTTCCCTCTCTCGCTGTGTCTGTCAAATAAATAAATAAAATCTTTAAAAAAAAAAAACAAAACAAAAAACACAGCCAGACATTAAAGTGGTGAAAACAGATTTTGTTCAGTAACCACTGACAGTAGGAGAAAAAGCCGAGCCCCATTCTGACTTGTGCAGAAGTGGTTGGGCATTTTAAAGGAAGAATAGGGAGAGGAGCAAAAGCGGACTCAAGAAGAGTCACAGAAGTGAAAAATTACAAAGGGCTGGTCACTGAAAATGACACTTGGCCAGCTGTGTCTGCTAGCTGACAATCATGGAAGTTAGGATTCTATCCTCCCAGAGACTGGGAGACGTCCATCCTTCCTAATAACTACATTTCAAAAAAATGGCTTTCTGATCCTTGAGAATGACACTTCTAAGTTGTAGGAGAGAGATATATATTTCAAAAGGAAAAGAAAGGATTCATAATTGTAAGCCATTTTTAGTGAATGCCCTAAGAAAGGGAGGTCAGGGGCCTAATCATCAGGTATTGGATAGAACAAACAATAAATTCTCCTGGAAGCACTGGGCTTTCTCAGGCAGGCATTTTAAATGGGTGCGAGGGTCCTTCAAAGAACACAGCCTTAGGCCATGCTAGTCTGGTGCTCTTTCAGTGCAGACATTGGTTAGAGTCAGGGTCAAGTGCTGGGAGTTCTGGTAGCCTTAATCCTTATCTACTTTACAGACAGTGCCTTTCTCCACAACTGACTTGCTTCCCACCTAATAGAAACACCTGCTAGAAAATCAGTAGGTGAAGGTAAAAAATAAGCAAACAAAACCCAAAACCCTTTCATTTCATTAAGAGCTGCAGCCAACCTGGAAGAGACAGAAATTTAAGTCTGGGGTTTGAAAATAATTCTTTTTTATTTTAGGCATTCTCAGATTCTCTGAGAAAAAAGTCAGGATGAAGAAAAAAAACCAAGAACACCCCCCAAAGAAATAGGACCACAATCAAATATCTAAATGTCAAAGCCAAACCTGATTTTCTACTCCTCACTGGGGGAAAAAAAAAAAAGAGGAAGTAGAAGAGGAGAGGGCAAATAACTAATTTTTACTTTCCACACATTGTTAGGCAAATTTGAGAAAACTACAAAACCTTTAAAAACTGGCCAGAGGCACCTGGGTGGCTCAATCCGTTAAGCACCTGCCTTCAGCTCAGGTCATGATCCCAGGGTCCTGGGATTGAGCCCCGCATCGGGCTCCCTGATCAGCTGGGAGCCTACTTCTCCCTCTCCCTCTGCCTGCCGCTCCCCTTGCTTGTGCTCTCTCCCTCTCTCTCTCTCTCACTGTCAGATAAATTAATAAAATCTTAAAATAATAATAATAAAAACTGGTCCAACGCTTAGGGCGCTATGCTTTTTTTTGCAGACCTTCTATGGATTAATTCTCAAGACACACTCTCCTCCTGGAAACAGCTCACATTTCGGTGGGAATGATATGTAAACAAATATCCACTTTACAATCTGATGGGTGGTATTAACAGAGGTCTGTCTGAATGAGGCGCAATGGTGATGGAGCAAACGGAGTGCCTCGAAAGCTCAGGGGTATCTTCCCACCGCAGGTAACATTTCGTGGGATCTTGGAAGAGGAGAAAGGGGATCCAAGATGAAATCTGACGTCCAGGCTAGGGCAATTCGATTCAACCCCCAATTTGGCCTAGAAGCCTCTTCTATGTGCTTCTCACCAAGTAAACTTCCCCTCTCAATGTATTTATCAGACCTCTCTGGCTGGTCCATCTCTCCGTTAAACTGTGAGCTCTTAGGCAAAACGGGCGATGATTCACCGTTCTATAAAACCACTACCCAGCTCAATAAGGGAATACGGGATGAATGGCTCGACTGATGAATAAAGTCAGCGGTCCTCCGTAAAAACCAGCAGGCCGGGTAGCCTGTCCTACGGGTTGGGATTGCTCTGTCCAGTATGGTTCCCTCAGAGGAATGTGTAAGGGAGCCGTCAGGGAGCATCGCCCCAGACTCACGAAAGGGGACGGGGGAGAGCTCAAGATCCCAGCAAACAAGGAACCTCGCTGCTGGTCCAGGGTATGCAGGGACTGCTGCTCGGGACAGGCGTTCAAGAACCTAGAAATGCTCCTAGACCCGTTCTTTTACTCACATGCGCGAGGGAAAGATTTCAATTCGGTCTTTGCCCGACATTCTGACGATGACAGTTTAACTCGGATCCCCCGCCGGGCAATCGAGGCTGCAACAGCCCCAGCCACAGGATCTTCCTCTAAGGGAGTCAGCTGGTTGTGTCACCTGACCTCCTCGCGTTGCTAAGTGGCAGCTGGGCTACGTATATACGCATTCTTCACTTCCGCTTCCTGTTGGCACGTGGGGAGGGTGGGGGGAGGACAAGAATGAGGCGATGCCCGGATGTTAAGGCCTCGAACCCCGCACTGAACCGCCCCTCACTTCCGGTTCTCCTCCTAGCCCCTCCCCCTCCAGCTCCCAGGAGGCTGCGCAAGGCTCTGCACGCGCGGGGTGAAAAAAAACAGGAGAGAAGAGTACACTCCTTCTCTTCTTCCACTTTTCATCTTTGGTCACAGCGCCACCTCATGGTTGATTGAAACTTCGAGAGAGGATTAATTCTTCAAGGACAAGGAATCAGAGTATTACCGCTTCCCTGCGCCTTGAAAGTTACTTAGCGAAAATGATAGATATCGAGAAAGCGTACTTTTCAGGTCCTCCTTTGATCTACATTCTTCCTTTTTTTCGGAGGACCTAGACTCTATGGTTAGTGAGGAAGAAGGACCTCTATTCTGTTGGCGCATGCGTGATGCGAGGTGGTTCCGCATGCGCGGTGGGGTAGAACCAAGCGCACGCCGAGGTGGATCGGCCGCTAGTGCGGGTGGACTGTCTGGTCTCTGCGGTTAAAGAGCACGGCACGGGATCCCGGCGCGGGATTCAGACACATACCTCAGGTGACTAGTCCCCCAGTTCGGTTTCTTCAAGAACTCCATTTAGTTGTGTCCAGTGACTTGGGTGGTCGGGAGAGGGTAGGCCCCGGGCTAACACCCCTCCCTTTCCCGTTCCTGCGCGGGAAGTGTCTGACACCACCCGCCGGCGCCGGGTGGGTCTTCCGTGTTACAGCGGTGTCATGGTACGAGCGGAGGAATCTCGTGAACAAAGTGGGCCAAGTGACCGTACAGCCTCTTCGATATGCTGAAAGTGAGGATACTTTTGAGATGGGGGCGGCCTCGGGAAAACACTGTGACACCCCCGCCCCAGGACGCTGAGCACTTTGCTCTTTCTGGGCTTGAGAATCCCACTGCCACCAGGTTTTTTTTTTTCCTTCCGCCCCACCAAATATACTACCTCTCAGTGGACACCAGACCAGACACTTGAAGGGACCATTGGGTTGGGCAGCAGTTTTGACAAGAGCTGGGTTAAAAGGATGAAGAATAGTTTATTTGTCCGATAATTTATTTTTTTCTAATTGGCGTTCATATTACCGTATCGCTTGACTTGCGCATTTTTATAGAATGAGCCATCCCTTGCATCGATACTAAAACATACTGAAGAGTTCACTACTCTTAGTATCAGTTTTCCGTATTTCAGCACCAATGAGAATAGACTTAACTCGCTGTGGCCTCACAGTTAGGCATAACTAAAAAGATAAGGGAATTTTGGCTTAAATACGTATTCGGCCTGAGGCCTCTATTATTATCCCCCAAACTTAGGCTACTTTATCATTAAGCAAGAAACATTGTTTCTTGGAGAAAAGGTGTAGCAGAGAAATCTTGGTTTGTCTTCCAGTTGAAGTTACCAAGGAAAAATCTTGTGATTATGTGTCTTTCAATAGTTGGTGAATTATATAGAGCTTTAATGCCTATTCTGAGTTGATTGGATGCCAAGTGACAGTTAATGATTATCCTAAGATCTCGAAAAGACACACAGTAATATTTGTAGAAGTTGGAGCTTTCTATTTCAACTACAGTGAAATAGTTTAAAAGCTTATTTGCGTAGCACTCCTGTACTAAAAACTAGCATCCAGAGAACGTTATGGATAAGCATTAGAGCCAAATTAGAATTATCACGAGTTTTCTCTACCACATAATGCACTTAACTTTGGAAAGGAACGTGGACTTCCTGGATCTATTATGGTTACTTGACCATGCACTGGTTTAAGAAAGAAGTCCTACCTACCATTTGACCACGCAAAATTACTGACAGTGCAGGGTATTTGAAATTAGCTTGGAGTTCAGTTAGTATATTTTGAAAGACGGATCTTTTTTTACTGAAGAACACATACCATATTGTAAGTACGCTGACATACTGAGGCTCTGTGGGTTAAAGGTATTCTGGATTTGAAATCAGAAGACTTGGTTTTAGTTCCTGTTCTAGTACTTAAGCATTTATCCTTGAGAAAGTCATTTAATATTTCTGTTCCTTGGTTCCCTTTTTTTTTATTTATTTTATATTTTTTATTCATTTGAGACACAGAGATAGCGTGAGCAGGGGGAGAGGCAGTGGGAGAAGGAGAAGCAGACTCCCCGTCGAGCCAGGAGCCCAATGTGGGGCTCGATCCCAGGACCCTGGGATCATGACCTGAGCCGAAGGCAGATGCTTAACCATCTGAGCCACCCAGGTGCCCCTCTTGGTTCCCTTTTAATTGATTGCTTCACTCTACTCCTTTCATAGTACTTTATATTGTTATTTACTCACTAGTTTGTTTCCCACTCTATACTTAACTTCCTTAGGTAAGAATCTTTTAAGTGTCGGTAGTGCTTAGTACATAGATGCTGCAAAAATAATTGTTTAACAAATTAAGTTACAAAATGGAGATAGTACCTGTTTTGCCTTTTAATGTCATACTTGTATAGCACATTACACTTTCCAAATTTTTACATATATTTTAATCTCATTTGATACACTCCACAAACCTTCGAGGTCCATGACACAGGCTAGAAACTACAGTTTAATGGGAATGCATTTCCCAAGCAACCACAGCTAGTAAGTACTAGAGTAAGGGCTGGAACCCATGTCTGGAGCTATTTTCTACTTAATAGTTACTTTGTTGAATAACATACCTTCAGCTGTGTTTTTTTTGTACCCTGTATAATGTGAAGAGATTGGTACCACTTAAAGCAGTAGTATTCATAGCTCTCGCCAGGATTATTTTACAGTATTGCCTGTGTTCTTTAATCATCAAATTAAGTCTTGCTTCCCCAGAATTAATCAGCTTTACTATTTGAATAAACGTGGTAAGTAAATGTGGTTGGCCCCTGTTAAATCTTTTAAAACTGTTTCACACATTTCTGTGACATCATTTACTTTGATACCAGTTTGAAACTTCTAGCTCTCAAACTTTAGTGCTTTACATACAGATATTTGACAACAGTTGTCCAAAGGGGGGGTGGGGCGGGCTCTGTTTAAGAATGAAACAACCAGCTCAGCAGTTTCTTGGGTAATTCTGGCCATTGAATGTCTGCTTCCCTTTATTTCCTAAATCCCTGTTTTGTCAAGGTAGAAGAGAAATGCATTTCTGCCATTATTATTAATATGCTGCTTTATTTCTTTTTGTTAAACAGGATAGATTAGTACTGAAAGCTTGGCATTAATCTACGGTATATGCTTTAACACTGAGTATGTATATTAGTGTTACTTTTTTTAAAAAGATGTTTCTAACTAAGATATTTATTGGTAATATTGAGTGAAAATACATCATGGTGAATAAGAGCACAGACTATAGATCCAAGCTTCAGAGGTTCAGATTCTATCACTTGTTAGCAGTATATGACAGAACAAGTTAATTGGCTTGTGTTTCTGTTTCCTCGACTATAAAATGGAGAGAACTAGGGAGAGAGGCAGTGACCAGATCATGTAGGACCCTGTAGGTAGTAGAAAGATGTAAAAATCAGTGGGAAGCCACTGTGAAGATATTTGTGGGTGCAGTTAACAGTTCTCAAACAGTACTGCCCCAGAACTCTCGGGTTCTCTAAGCTGGATGTGGATATATCCTATCTTTAAGATCAAGTAATGGCAGCCTTAATTCCCAATTAATAAGAAAAAAATTGGGGCGCGTGGGTGGCTCAGTCGGTTAAGCATCCAGCTCTCAGTTTTTGGCTTAGGTCATGATCTCAGGATTGTGAGATGGAACCCCACATCAGACTCTGGCTAGGCATGGAGCCTGCTTAAGATTCCCTCTCCCTCTGCCCTACTTGCTTTGTTGTCTTTCTCTCTCTAAAAAAAATAAACGAATTTTCACACATTTTTCATAGGTGTTTAGGTCCTACTACTGCCTATTTTCTGAAGCTTGACAATAGTAAATTAAGGTTAGTAGAAAAATATGAAAGTCATCAGCTGTGATTAGTTTTACAGCTTTTAAAAAATACACTTCTATGCATGGTATAATTTCAGTCTTGTGGATCATAAAAGGAGTGGTGCTGAAAGTAGGTTGGGTAGATCAAAGAGAATAGTTTTTAAGAGACTCGAACTTTATAGTAATGGAGTTCTATAAAGCTATTCTCAAGATTGGGTATATCTGTTCAATAAACGAATTTAGTTGTATTTAGTTATATTTAATATTTTTGTGATTAGTAAGTTTTTAGGTTTTGTCTTAACATACGATACTGTAATTTTGGCTAAAAGGATAGGGTATATTACTTGATGTATGATTAGGACTATGGTTTAAGTAGATAGAAGAGTCTTCCCTTTATATAGTGGGTGGTAGTATATAGTCTTAGCTGACTTGGAGAACAAATAGCTTTAGTTTTGCTGATAGGTTTATAGTAGTAGTGATGCTTACCATCATTTGTTGTTTCTTAAAGTGGTTGTATTAAAATAGTATTTTACTCTTGAGGTGTACTTTTAATCCTTAGATCTCAAAGTACTTAATAGATGGTCATTATTTTTTATGATTCCTCTAAAACCGAGGTCAGAGAATCACCCAAGCTTTACAAAAATGTGGAGCAAAGTAAAAATTAAAGCTTGATTCCCAGACATCTGTCTGTTTTCTGGTACCATTTAAGAAGTTTAAAGAGATGAGAAGACTAATCATTTCTCCAGTGGCAAGATGTGGAAAATTGATTGACATTTCTTTATTTTGACCTTAACACTCATTTGATTCTTTTGTTTAAAATGCAGAATGCCGGGTCTAAGTTGTAGATTTTATCAACACAAATTTCCTGAGGTGGAAGATGTAGTGATGGTGAATGTAAGGTCCATTGCTGAAATGGGGGCTTATGTCAGCTTGCTGGAATACAACAATATTGAAGGCATGATTCTTCTTAGTGAGTTGTCCAGAAGGCGTATCCGTTCTATAAACAAACTCATCAGAATTGGCAGGAATGAGTGTGTGGTTGTCATTAGAGTGGACAAAGAAAAAGGTAAGTGATAAAAATATCTAAAATATAAACATCAGATTTAAAATGGTTTATTTAAAATTTTATTTTTGTAAATTGCTGACTGTTGTAAAAACAAAACAAAAACATCTCCTTTTATACTTAAAGTTTTTTTACATACGAAGTTGTTAGATAAGAATGCTAATTACCCATCTAAGCAAGACCTCTTGTTAGTAGTGGTTTAATTAGCACATCCCAGGGCTAGTTTGTGTCAAGTAACTTGACTTTTATTCCCAGAGGTTACCAGAAATTGATAGTTGACTCATTGTGGCTAAATTCAGAAGAGACAGATAAGTAAACCAGAGTATCAGTTCATATATTTGTTAAGATGCTTTTTTATTCAGGGGCGCCTGGGTGGCTCAGTCGGTTAAGTGTCTGACTCTTGATCTCAGCTCAGGTCTTGTTCTCACAGTTGTGAATTCAAGCTCCACGTTGGGCTCCATGCTAGGCGTGGAGCCCTACTTAAAAAAAAAAAAAAAAAACTCTTTTTCTTGATTTAAAGCTAAATTTGTAATCAGATTATTGGAGGAACATGGAAATGGGGCAAAGGTAAATGGACTTCAGGAATATTTTATATAGGTTCTGAAAAAGGAATATACTGCAGACACACACCCAAGACCCAGTATTCTGTATCTCTTTGATTATTAGAATGTTTGTGTTCTATGAATGTTCATTCACAGTGTCCAAAATTGCTAAACATTTGAGGAAACAGGAAAATATGACCCATATAGAAGAGAAAAAGGAACCAATGGAGATTGACCTAGAGGTGACCTTAATATTGGAGTTAGCAGGGGCGCCTGAGTGGCTCAGTCATTAAGCGTCTGCCTTTGGCTCAGGTCATGATCCCAGAGTCCTGGGATCGAGCCCCGCATCAGGCTCCCTGCTCCACAGGAAGCCTGCTTCTCCCTCTCCCACTCCCTCTGTTTGTGTTCCCTCTTTCGCTGTGTCTCTCTCTGTCAAATAAATAAAATCTTTAAAAAAAAAAAAATATTGGAGTTAGCAGATAAGAATTTTAAAGCAGACGTTGCAACTGCTGAAGGATATTAGGAAATAAACTTGTAATGAATGAACAAAATGAAATCTCTGTAAAGACATTAGAAACTCTCATAACTAAATATAAATTCTAAAATTAAAAGTATGATATCGAAAAAACTCACCAGATGGGCTAACAGCAGGGTAAAGATGGCAGAAGTCTCAAGTTAGACTTGCAGGTAGTTCATTTAAAAGAACCAGTGTGAAGAACAGAGCAAGGGAAAAGCAACCTGTCAAATATTAAAAGCTCTATTCCAAGAGAAGAGAGAGAAAGGGCAGAACATTTATTCGAGGAAATTCAAACCAAAGTTTCCCATATTTGCTGAAAAAACAAATGTACAAACTGGAGAAGCTTGGCAAACCTCAAGCAGGATAAATACTGATAAGACCACATCTAGGCACATTAAACTGTTGAAAAACAGAGATCGAGAAAATCTTGAAAATAGAGGAAAATGATTCATGATTTACAGGGGAACAGTAGTACAAATTACTGTTAGTATGGTATTCTTACTGAAAATAATGGCTGAGCATTGAATGACATCTTTAAAGCACTAAAGAGAAAAATTGTCAGCCCAGAATTCTAGAATATTTAAAGAAAATATTCAACAATGAAAATCAAAAATGAAGACATTTTCAGGTAAATAGAAACTAAGAGGATTTATTACTTAATCTGCATTATAAGAAATGGTAAAGGAAATTATGCAGGCCCATGAGGTGTGATGCCTGACATGGGAATATGTAAGTAAACATAAAAGACCATTTTTCCCTCTTAAATTCTTTAAAATACATTTAAGTGCTTGTCTCATTTTGTACCCATGGGATTTTAATTTATGGAGGTGATGGACAACATGGTGAGGCCAATGCCATGGCCACACCATGCCCATGCAGGGCCACCATGAGGAGGAAGCACCAGTTGTGGTCAGGAGGCAGAAGGAGCATTAAAAATACAGAAAATACATAGAACGCAATTGACCCTTTGATGAGTTGATGCCAAAAAGACAAGCACGAATCCTTTGACCAGCTTTCATTTGGGTAATTGAAAGTATTAGTTCCTTTCACTGAAGTGATAGGAAATATACAATTACATGATGATACAAATGCACGTCTGAAAACAAAAATCTCTAATCTTACGCAGTATTTTACTGATAGGATTTTAGTGGGGAGTAAGTACAGGTATGCCAACTAAACAGTCTGGTGTAAAAATTTATCACAGTGGTAAGCTAGCACCTGGGCAGGGATGATTTTTCTTTTCCCCCCCCAAAATTTTTTCATACAGGATATATTGATTTGTCAAAAAGAAGAGTTTCTCCAGAGGAAGCAATCAAATGTGAAGATAAATTCACCAAATCCAAAACTGTAAGTTTGATTTTTGAGTGAAATTAATCCACTATTTAATATATTTAATAAATAATCAGCATGTAATATTCTTGGCAGAAAATGAAAACCTGGATTTTCTGTACCTCTATTTCCATTTACAATTAGGAGTTACATAGGATAATTTGAAGACTTAGTTTCAAAAGAGTTACAACCGCAGTGTTTTTACCTTATGGTGGTACTACCTTAAGGCATTGCTTATCGTGTAATATTCTAAAATGAGTATACTGCATTAGTGTTTTTAAGTTATTTTAGGTTAAATTAACTATGGGTGACTTCAGTTGGTTTGACTTCTCATAACATGTAGTTCTTGACTTTAAACCCCATTCTGGGATAAGTCACAGAGACAACCAGCTGTTATATGTTAAGAATAAGCAAGGTTTTGTAAAATGTGAATCCAGGAAAGCAAGGCAGGGGCCTGTTGGTAGTTTTTCCCCCCCTAGTTAGAGTCCGTTCTGTTTCACTTTCTTATTTTGGCTGTAATCTCCTACTTCTGTACAATAAGCATTAATGAAGCAAAAACAACTGTTTTTTCATTCTTTATGTTCTATCGTTTTTTTCTTCTCTGGTCCTATTTAGATTATCTTTCATTCTCTAGATCCTTGGTTCTTAATGGCAGTGTTTCCATTGTGTTTTTCTTTATTTTTTGTTCTTTTCTCTCGTGTGTTTCTGTCCTCAAGATAAAAATGCCAAGAAAACAGTGTTTAAATGAAGAGAAGATTTTTGAAATCTTGCTTAATTAACCCCAGTAAATAAGAGAATAAAAATCTAAAAGCCAAAAGACCATTACCCAAATCTTTCCCTTTGTTTTACTGATGTGTTTACTATTACTGCAGTGTGGTTTGGTTTACACATTAGAAAACACTATCAGTGAAATCCCTTCTTTATTAAGAAGACCTTTCCACTCAGAATGTAGTCTCTGGACCAACAGCATTGACATCACCTGACTGCTTAATGCAGGATCCTGAAGTTCCACCGAGTTTGAGAAGCTCTGCTCTAGGAAACTTTAACTTTGTTTTGTCCCCTTAGGATATTGTAAAATGAGTGTTAGTAGATCTCATCAGGACGAAAAGGTGATAGAATGAAATAACCAACGTTAGTACCTTTTCTCACTCAACTTTCATGTGTAACGTGAAAAACCTCTTTTCTTATGTTCTTTCTCTTCTTTAAGCCCTTTTATTTTTAGGAAATTAGAAAAAGAGTTTGACAGCAGTGAGTAGGAGATAGGTGCATTGAAGGATAACTGCTAAATGATAGCAGAATACTAAAATCTCAATCCTGTTCCATGCTGTCATATGGAGTAATAGTAATAGCTTACGCTTGTGTAACAAAAGTTTTGCATAATATACAAATTCTGTATATTTGTATGATGTTTTCCAGGTATAATTTGGATAGATTTGATCTCTCTGCAGTAAAAAGGAGAGATACTGGTATTTCCCTTTTCTAGAAGAGGAAACAAATTTAGAGAGGTTAATTGTTTCCTAAGTCAACTTAATCTGGGTGTTAGGACAACAAGTTTTGTACTGTTTCTACTTGTTACACACCCGCTTGAGTTAAGTATTATAGGAAAGAGAATATTTCTCTGTGAAAAAAGAACTTGCTGTGTATGTTAACCCTTTGTTGTTGAGGAATTATTATAGTGTAACCAAAGATTGGATTTATATGCTGTCTACTGAAACGTAAAAATACCTTTTCTTTTCTTACTTTTTTTTTTTTTTAAGATCTCTTCCCTTTGAATTGTTGAACTCTTCATTTTGTTTCTAGGTTTACAGCATTCTTCGTCATGTTGCTGAGGTGTTAGAGTACACCAAGGATGAGCAACTGGAGAGCCTGTTCCAGAGGACTGCCTGGGTCTTTGATGACAAATACAAGAGACCTGGATACGGTGCCTATGATGCATTTAAGCATGCAGTCTCGTAAGAACACCTTCTTGGCTCTGATGCTACCTTGATAACACAGCTGCTGGGTCTAGCACACAAGTTGAGAGCCTGACATGTAATAATAGCACAACACCCACATAATAAGTCCTTGTCAAATTTAGATTAAAATATTTCCATGTAAAAGGCCCATAATGCGGGCCAGTCCTATGTAGCCAAACATACCTAATTGTGTACACCTTAGTTTTTGTAAACCATATGGTTTCATCTCACATTTTCCCCTCCTGGTTTTGTTATTACCCTAGCTAACTTGGGTCAATGTAGATGTCTCATCTACAACTGTACCTTGTTTTCTTTACCTCAGTTCCTTACACCTGCAGCCCATGCCACTTTAGCCAGTTTCCATATGGCCTCACCCTGGGTCTTATCACCAGAATTTGGTGTGCTTCCAAAATCTTTAATTCATACATTCTATTCTTTTACCACAGACAGCCTCCTGTCCTTCCAGCTCCGCCATAGTTAGTCCGACTCTGTGTCTTCTGAATTCTTATGCCAGACTATAATTCCAAACTTTTTTCTTCCTCCGTGTCTTTTTACCCTTTCCTGCCTTCTATTTCTTACTCAGCATAGACATACCATGGTCCATCATTTCAGCAACTTCTTGCCAATATCATGAGCTTTTGCCCTGTTTTTCCATCTGTTACATCCAGCCTTGGACCGATGTTCCTGCCTTCTCTGCACTTGTAGAATGCTGGGTGCTGCTAGGAAAAACCACGGTCTTGCAGGTTGGTGCCACTGCATATTCATCATGGTCTCCAACCTCAGCTGCGCCTTCACTGCTTCCTCACATTCTCTCTGCTCTTGTCAGTTCTTCCTCCCATTCGTAGAGTGGCTATTTTAGAGCTTTTATACACACTCTGTCAGATACCCACTCCCCCCTTCCCTCACTCTCAACTGGTGTGCCTATTACCTATTCTTTAAAGAGAACAGAAGCCATTGCCCAGGTTCTCCTCTGCTCCTTCCACTGTCTCAGCAGCCTTCTCTCCCATCCGTCATTACCTCCTGCGCTCCTGTCCTGAATTCATATCCTTCCTGCTCTCTAACTCACCTTACCACCTGTGCACAGCTGCTGCTCAGGGATCGTTTTGTCTGTTACTCCCTCTTTTGTGTCTTCAGCCTTTCTCTTTGTTGGTTTTGCTCCATTGGCATAAAAATATGCTCTAATCTCCCATTTATACTAAAAGCAAACTTTACCTCCCCTCTACTTTCTCCTGTAGCAAGCACTGTATCCTCTCTTTTTAAAATATTTGGACCCAAAACAAAAAAATAAATAGCTGGACCCCTTTGGTTCTCTGTACTTAACTGTCTCTCCTTCTGCACATCCTACTCTTGCCCAAGTGTTAATGCTCCACAAGCAGCCTCTCCATTACACTGAGGTTACTTTCCAGCCTTTGTGCTGCCAAAGGATATTGGTCCCCTCAGCTCTTAGAATGGCCCAGTGGACCTGGGACTGATAGAGCCTCCAGCAGGTTGGCTCATCTGGGGTCCAAATGCTTTCCAGCTCCCCCCCCACCATGTGACTTTTTTTTCATACCACATTGTGGGAAAGGTAAGAATAATAATAACAGCAAACGTCTAGATTTCTCACAGCAACGCATGGCATAAGTGCTATTATTATCCATGTCTTAGAGATGAGGAAATGGAGGCAGAGATTAAATAATTTGTCCACGTGCACAGAGCTAGCAAATGGAAGAGTCCCGATTCACACCTAGACACTGGCTCCCATCTGGAGTTTATGCTGTTGACCATTAAGCACTGCTTTATATTTCCGTCCCCCCGACTTCAGTCGTGCACGCCTTTCATCCCTCAGCGTGCTGTCATCGTCCAGCCCTCCCTCACTTCACCTCCATGACCGCTCAGCAGTGGCATACATCTTTTCCCTTTTCTTTAACATTCTTTGCTTCATCAGCCATGTAGTGACTGTCCACGTTTAACTATCGCCACATGTTCTTTAAATTAAAAAATTTTTGAGATAGTTGGAAACAATGTTTTATCCCTCCCAACCCATTCCCCTCACTCATCAGCAGGAACTATTTTATAATTAGTATGCACCATTATTACTTACGTTTCTGTGGATTTATTACATATATGTACCTAGAAAGTACGTATAGAATCATTTTTGTATTTTAAAAATTTTGTTAGTTTATTTAAACTTTAAAAAAAAAAAAGGAATTTATTCTGTCATTGTAGTTTTCTGTACCTTACAGTTTTACTTATAAAACTCTGAATCTCTGAATGGGATTCTCCACAAAGTGATAGATGTGTACCTACTTCATACTAATTTCTGTGTAGTACTTCATTGTAAGAATGTGCTTTATTTGTTTCTCTATTAAGAGATATTAGGTCATCCTCCCCCCTTTTTTTCCCATTTTTTTAAACCATGCTATTACGAATATCCATGTGCATGTCTCCATGTACATTTGGGAGTTTCTAAGGTATATACATAGCAATAGAGTTGTTGGGTCATAGCATTGATTATATGCCTCTTTAAATTTACTCAGTTTTGCCAAAATACTCTCCAGATTGGTTCTACAATTTATATTTCCAATAGCAGTTGTATGAGCATTCCTGTTTCTCTTCATCCTCACCAACATTTGGTATATATCTCAGATTATTTTCCCTTTTGCCAAACTGATGGGTGTATGATAGTACCTTGTTTTTTGTTTGCATTTTACTGGTTGTTGGTGAAGTTAACAGCTTTTCATATGTTTACTATTCTGTGAAACATCTGTTCATCTCTTTTGCTCATTTTCTGGTGGTTTGTCGTCTTGTTATATTTTGTAAGCAGTATTAGCCAAATGAAAGTTCCCTCCACCCAAATTCTTTAGCCTTTCACTCCCTAACCCCTGCTTTTCTAGGCCTGATGTGCCATTTCTGTTTTAATACTTTACAACTTGCTTAAAACAGTTCTACCTTTGCTTTTTAAAGTCCTACCATTCTTTTAGTCATTATTTCAATTTTTTCATTTGTTCATGTTCCATAAACAGTGGTGACTAAGTGGTGACCCTGGTCCCTGTCTCATGGCACTCAGAAGGTCCAGATGAAATGCCACTTCAGTCCGTGCAGCCCTTCCTGAGCCCATAACTGAAAGTAATACCTTCCTCTCCCGACTTCCAAGGATGTACTTTTATTTTAAAATTGCTTGTATGTTTTTGTCCTTTTCAAGCTCCTTGAAGCAGGGACTGCTAATTACATGGAAATGTTTAATTATACTGGGATATCCAGTATATTAGGAGACATTTTTAAATTCCTTGCTTTAGCCACATCTCTAAACTTTTTCTTCAAATAATCAGCTGGGGGTTTTCTTTTTGTCATAGTAGTGCTAAGTGCTTTACTTGCATGATCTCATTTAATATCACAACCAGTGAGATGTACAGTTTTTATCCTCATTTTACAATTTGGAAACTAAGGTCTGGAAAGGTCCCAAAACACATAGTTAATGAAGTGTAAAGCTAAGATTTGAACTCAATTCTGACGCTAAAGCCTGTGCTCTTAAACATTATTCTGTGGTATTGTGTTTGGTATCACAGTTATCTGTAAAGTAACCTTGGCCTTTGTTGTTTGTTTGTGTGTCTGTGTGTGTTTTGTTTTGCTTTAATTAGAGACCCATCTATTTTGGATAGTTTAGATCTGAATGAAGATGAACGGGGAGTACTTATTAACAATATTAATAGGCGTTTGACACCACAAGCTGTCAAAATCCGAGCAGGTAAGTGATTTTTTTAAATGATGTTTAAAATAATTTTGCATGAACCAAAAAGCTGTTAAATAATGAGAGTTACCAAAGAATATGTTGCTACATCAGCATCTGCACGTTTTTCTCTTATAACAAGAAAAGCTTAAGAAATTATTTTTGCTTCTACTGAACCATCATAAAACGTATATATTGACACAAGTAAAAACTGTCATATATGCATTCAGCTAACCTTAAGTTAGTCCTTTTTTTTTCCTTTTTTTCTTCTTTTTTTTAAAGATTGTATTTAGGGCGCCTGGGTGGCTCAGTTGGTTAAGCGACTGCCCTCGGCTCAGGTCATGATCCTGGAGTCCCAGGATCGAGTCCCGCATCGGGCTCCCTGCTCGGCAGGGAGTCTGCTTCT